CATGTTGCAGGAACTCTTGTGGGAACGCTCTTACTTGTATTCAAGTTTTCCTTTGCCCTCTGTCATACCTTGTTATGACCGGAGGTGACAGCTGGAATGTGGCCCTTTAGGAACTCAGCCTTCCCTTTTTCTAGGATAGAGTAATTAGTAACTCATTGCTGTTTTTAGAAGCATTATCTTAACCTGACAGTGATTATCTTTCATGATTTAATACCCAAAGTTCAATCAAAGTTCAGTATTTTTTCATAAAAGAAATTACAAATGGTCCCCAACTTAAGAAGGTTTAACTTATGACTTTTTCAACTTTGTGATGGTGTGAAAGTGATACACATTCAGTAGAAACTGTACTTAAACTTTGAATGTTGGTTTTTTCCTGGGCTAGTGATGTGCGGTACGATACTCTCTCGTGATGCTGGGCAGCGGCAGCCCGCAGCTCCTGATCAGCCACACGATCAGGTAAAGAAACAACTGATAGGCCTACAATCATGCGGTACCCAGACAACCGTTCTGTTCTTCACTTTCAGCGCAGCATTCAGTATATTACATGAGATATTCAACACTTTATTATAAAACTGGCTTTGCGTTAGATGATTTTGCCCAACTGTAGGCTAATGGAAGGGTTCTGAGCCTGTTTAAGGTGGGCTTGGCTAAGCTATGATGTTTCTTAGGCTAAGTGTATTAAATGCTTTTTGACTTAGGATATTTTCAACTTACAGTGGGTTTATTGGGATGTAATATGATGGTCAAGAAAGTCAAGAAAGATCAGTATTTGTCAGTTAAGCTACGGTGTAACACAGCAAGAAGTTATTTTTGTCTTTGCAAAATAAGATAGGAAGATGTTGTCCAAAAAAACAGTCACCACTCCTCCAGATCTTTACATCAACCTTAAGGATTTCAGTTGGAGTGTATTCCCCATCATTCCAGTTTAGGAAAATGAGGGAAAAAAGAGAACTGGAGATGGGAAGGGAGCTGTACTCTACTCCCCCTCCGTTGGTGGTTGCTTCTCCTTTGACACTGTCACTTAAAAACTTTCCTGAATCTGTTCATTCCTCTGTCTTCCCAATGGTGTTGACCCAATGCCAGGATTTCTTCAACATCCTCTTCACTGGTCCCTGCCTCTAGTCTTACTTCCCTCCCATCTTGTTCTCTGGTTTTTCTGGAGCATAACTGTTAAATGCCTCTGCTGCTTAAAATTCCCATGGTGGCTTCCCGTGGCCTTCAAGGTGAAGTTGAAACTTTAAATTGGCCCATCAGACCTTTCGTGCCTTCTGTCTACCTCAGCAGACTCATCTCTGTCTGTTGCCTGCCTTACATTTTCTTTTCTAGCCGTATTGAACTTGTTTAGTTTCCTGGAGTCAGTGAGATCTTTGCACATGTTTTCCCCTCTGTAAAGAATACTGCCCCCTTTCTAGCCAAGCCCAGTATCATAACCTTTACATAACCTTTACTCTTCTTTGGAGAAGCATTACTAGAACTCTCTAGACTAGATAAGGTGTCCCTGCTATGTGTTCCCATAGCATCTTCCACTTATCCTAACTTAATACGTATTATATAAATGTGTGTTTGTCTTTCCACTAATTGGTAAGCTTTCTGAAGGTAGGAACTATGTCTAACTCGTTTACAGCTGCGTTACCATTCCTGGCACGGTGTTTGGCAAATAGAAAGTGCTCAATGAAAATTTGATGAACTAATAGATTAGTGAAACCAAGAGCAGATCAGATTAAAAGATTTTTGCAGTATAAATGTGAGGCTGATAAAAAGAGGAGGGGCCGTGGTAAACCCCAGCCTTAGAACTTTATTCCAAATTTTTGGAAGGGAAGGAATGTACATAATAGTGATGACATGTGCTCTGTCACGACATGTGCGGGTAAGGGTCTAGGAAATACACACTTGCAATCCTGAGCCAACGAAAGTAAGTTAAACATCCACAATTTACTCTGCTTCTCTGGGAGGCTGGGAGTCAACAACTCTTGAGTTGTTAAATCAGAAAAGATTTAAACATTCACATAAATGGATTTTTAAATATCTCATTGAAACTTTAGGGGAAGCACATCCCAAAATATTTCCAAGGAGCAGAGATTGTAAATGAGAAATCACACCGCACAATCTCCATTGCTCTTAAAGGAACTATAAAATGCTAACAGCAGTCCTCTGTCCCCCGCAGTCTCATGTGGCCCCATTGTGCATTGCTTGTTATTGAGAAATTCTACCACTATGGTTCAAAGGAGCGTAATAATCCTTATGGTATGGGAAAGAATACTGTATTTAGATGGTTTAGGTAGAACATTTGCCATTTCTAGAAATACTGTTAAGGAAATTCCCTGGCAGTCCAGTGGTTAGGACTCGACACTTTCACTGCCGAGGGCCTGGGTTCAATCCCTGGTTGGCGAATTAAGATCCCGAAAGTTGCACATCGAGGCCAAAAAAAAAATTAAAAATAAAAAAAAAATTAAAGAAAGCAAGAAGGAAATACTGTCAATGCAATATTTATTCCTTTGTTTCTTCCTAATCTAGAGAGTTACAGATTTATGAGTCCTGCAGATTAGTTAGTACTGTGCCTTTTGATGAGGCCAGAAAGAAATTATTTCTCTATCTCTAGCTTATGGAGTTTGTTTTCCAGGAGATAATTGAGGTTCAGTTAAGATCAGTGTTACTTCTATAGGGTTTTACACACACATTACCCACCCCCCCCACCCCCCCTACCCCCCCCCTCCCCCCTGGCCTCCATTTTATTTCTGTTGAGATAGAAAACACTTAGCAACTGTTTTCTTAGATTGCTTCACTTTGTTTTCTTTCTTCTGAGTCCTTCTGGAGACTTTCTTGGCCTGGAGGCAGAATTGAATAGCAGGTATGAATTTCAAGGTCACAGCTAAGCTTACTTGTCAACAGAAAGCAGTCGCCAATGTTATTTCATGCATCTTTGCCCTGAGGCAGAAATTTTCATTCATAATTTAGGGAATTGAAGAGTTAGAGATTCAAATTCGCAGGTATCTTAGAAAGTTGAAAAGATATCAAAGAATGAGTTTACAAACCGTTTTGGGTGTTGGAAAATGCTTTGAAATATTGACAAGTTTTTGGTTATTGGTTTTAAAGGTTTTCCAGGGCTTCCCAAAATTAAGTGCTACTTGAAATTCATATAGTCTGAGGCAACTTGTAGCCAGCTTTGCCTATACATAAATGTAGAAACAAAAATTTAGGTGAGACTGTGAAAAATAGATATATAAATAAATGGGTAGATAGCTATCTAGTGCAATGGTTCTGGGAGGAGGGTGTGATTTTGCTCCCCTCAGGGGGCGTTTGGCAATGTCTAGAGACATGTTCATCATCACAGCTGTAGTAGGTGGAGGCAGGGATGCTGCTAAACATCTTACAATGCACAAAATGGTCCACAGTGCTGCTGTTGAGAAACCCTGATTTGATGGATGTAGAGATAGATGGATATTAATATATATATATAAAACATTTGTGTCTGTATAAACCTTAGTTTGGGGGAATTTTTCTGCAGGTATAAATAAAAATATTTAAGGAAAGAAATTCATTCCAATTCTTTGACCTATCAGCATATATTCAACATGGGGTTCAGTCATGTCACATATAAACCCTTTCAGAGCCACAGGAACCATAGCCAGGAAGCTTACCCCTTCCTCAAAGCTGTTCCTTCAGACGTAGGGCCTCATGCAGTGAAGGAGCCTTGAGATAACTGAGCATCCTTGAATGTAATCTTTTTTCTGTAACATTTTACCTGTACCCCTCTTGACATTAAAGTACTTCCGACATTGTGCTAAAGGGTTAGTCTTTAATTTACCTCTGCCCTGCCTGTTGAACCCTCCTAATTGGTGATATTGTTGTAAAGGAGCAAGGCAACCTCTATCTAAAAGGATGGTAATAAACTTGTGCCTCATATCTGTATCGGTTAAGATAGATTTGCCTGTATTATAACCAAAAAACAAACTCAAAAAAATCCACCATCAGTAGAACTTAAAATAACAGTGACTTAAATGAGCCAGAAGTTTATTTCTCTCTTGGGTGTAAGAAGTGCAGAGGCAGGCAGATCAGGACTAGTGTGTCTGTTCCACAAACATCCATGCCAAGCTTTGCCCCACCTTAACGCCAGCCTTGGTGTGAGGTCTCTTCATCTAAGATGGGTGCTTGAGCTCATGTTCATTGATAAACTCTGACCTGGCCATGTGGCTGCCAACACAGATGCAGACCTGGCTGGGTGATATCATCCTAGCTTGGGCATAAAAATTATGTAGCAAAGGCCAACTAACTATTATAGTCCTAAGGTGGGCACCACAAAGATGCAGCCGACCACCTCCAACCAACCCAGATATTGCCTGCCAATTAGCTACATTTACTTGGCTTGCTTGATGTAGGTTAGAGACGGTACAAGTACAAGGTCATCTGTTGAAAAGACCTACCCCATTTCTCCTGCCCTGAACCACAATCCTCAGAGCTTGGACATTGCTGGGTCAGTTTTCCTATTTTGCAATAAAAGTTATCCTGCTAACGTTTAATCTTTGGTCTCTTAGTGATTTTCTCTTTAACATCATTGTGTCTACTTTCCAGTCAGCAAGAAGGGGGAAGGATTGAAGATTACTCTTCTCTTTTAAGTACACTGCCCAGAAGTCACTCAACACTTCGAATTGGCCAGATCTTAGTCACATGGTCATTAGTTTCAAGAGAGTCTGGGGAAATAGTCTTTTGGATGGACCCTCCAAAAAACTGGAGTTCTTGTTACTAAAGATTGAGAGACAGCTATCAGACTTTGAAACAATACTCAGTGAAAATATCAGGAAAAAAACAGTGACTACATAACCTCATCAAGGCTCTCAAATTACAAAAATAAGATATTCTGTGGCAGTGAATTACTGGTTAGATGCTATTTTTCTTTCCTTCCTCCCTCCCTCCCTCCCTCCCTTCCTCCCCTCCTTCTCTGTGGTTTTATTATTTCCCCTTTTCCGAAAGCAAAACTAATCATTCTGTGTTTCTTCTTAAAGGACTTTCCGTGACATTTCTGAAGATCTGAAGCCTTCAGTAGACTGACTTGGTTTCTAAACCACAGTGATTTCTCTAGGAAATTCAACCTTGACTATGAGTTTAGCTCAGCTGTGGCCTCCTATCCTTTCAGCTGTACCTGGCAAACAGAGCCCAGGAAAAGAAGCAGAAGCCTCCTAGCCTTCCATACAGAATGCCCGGACAAGAGAGGACTTGCTGTGCTTTGCATTTTAAAGCACAGCTTTGGAGCTCAGAAATGTGGTTTACTCACTTAACTGTTGCTCAGATGGCTTGAAAAGTTTCAGTTTATAAACTGGTACCATGGCTTGAAATTTTCCCACTTTGGTTATGTATATTACAATATGTATTTATAAAGTTTTTTAAAGAGTCCTAAACTACCTGCTGTATACAGTGTAGTTTTCTCCTGTTTTAAGAAATCTGTCTTTAAACTTTTCTGTGACAGTCACTTTTCCATGAAGAGGGCTTTCACTTTTGAGAATGTAGTTGCTTGAGCGGGAAAAATGAGTCTTCTCCCTTCTTCCACAGTGTATGGTCCTCTCTGTAAGGAAGAGCAAATCTTCAGTGTAAGGGCAGGTGGCTTATTTGAAGTTCAGTTAGTTGTATGTTACAACCACAGGAGACCACAGAAAGACCGAAGCTCTTCCTCCCCTTCTCCCTACATCCGCTACTGCTCTATTGCCAAATTTTTTAAACTTGGCTGACCACATTGAAATTAAATACTTATTAAGCTGCTATTAATGGTAACAGTATGATAGAATTCATGTTGTAATGTTTTTCTTTCCAAATGTTTTAAGAAAAAGCTCTCAGGGGCAGCAGTGCTCTGATCATTAAAAGTATCCCTGTTTCACTATTTGGAATTTGACCAATTAGTTTTATTAGCAGTAAAATTTTATATCTGTGTAGTATTTTCCCATTACTTAGCACAGTGCCTTGCACATAGACTCTTTTTTTTTTTTTTTTTTTTTTTTGCGGTACGCGGGCCTCTCACTGCTGTGGCCTCTCCCGTTGCAGAGCACAGGCTCCAGACTTGCAGGCCCAGCGGCCATGGCTCACGGGCCCAGCCGCTCCGCGGCATGTGGGATCTTCCCGGACCGGGGCACGAACCCATGTCCCCTGCATCGGCAGGCGGACTCTCAACCACTGCGCCACCAGGGAAGCCCGCACATAGACTCTAGATGAATGCTTGTTGAATTAAATTATGACTTTTAAAATATCTCAGATATCACAATAACCGGCATAGTGCTCTACATTTGACAAAGTCTTTTTGCACATATTATTTCACAGGCACTTCACATCAGCTTTCATATAGCTTCACATTATTTTGCAACAGTTTCACACAGATGGGGAAGGTAAGGTTCAGAAAAGTGACCAACTCAAAAGTCGTGAAGTTTAGTAAAATTTGACCTCAGATCTTTCTGACTCCACACTCTGCCAACTCTGCTATATTGTAGTGTTTCTTTTAATATCTTACACAATTTTTCCAGTGCTATGAGGTAGAATAGGTGTCCTGTTCTATCGCATAGACTTGTCCTAGGGTTAATGACAGGGCTGGGACTGGAACCCAGCTCTTAGCTTTGTGCCCTTTCCACTGTGTAAAACAATCTTCAGGCTCTTTCTCTGCCCCCAAAGGAGTATGGAGGAGAAAGAGTTCTTAAGTAACAAAGATTTCATTTTTGGAAAACATTTAAAAGTAGAAATCATATTTTTCTAAAACATCTTCTCATTAAGAAGCATAGTTAATGATAATTACTTTAAATTTATTCTGATATTACTTCAGAAAAACTCCATCTAGGAAAGAGGCTACCTTGAGGTCTCTGTCTGTAGAGTAGACTGTACAGATCTCATATATTTCCTGTGAATCCTTCAACAATTACAATCTGGTATTCCACCAAGTGTTACATTTGGCACTAAGTGGCACTAAGTAACTCATTCTTTTCTTTAATCACTTGTTCATTCATTCATTCAGTAGAACATTGGTTGAGAGTTTGCCAGACTCTAGGTTCTATGCCAGGCACTGTACAGGGTGCTGTAGGGGATAATTCATAAGAAGGCCTTCGCTCACCTTAAATCTTAGCCAGATCATGTGTATTGCTAAAATTAAAAATTTTGCATTAAAAGTATTAAGAAAGAAATCAGGTTTGTTTTTGTTAATGGTATACTGGTAAGTTTACAGCTGTGATGAGCACATATTTATGAGAGGCAAATACTATGCACAGTAAGTTAGTGTGCATATACAAATTACGTTCTTCCAAAATGCTTTTAGCTCTGTAAAGTGATATTGCAAATATATAAATTTGAGGTAATATATGGCTCTTGCTGGTCATAATTATTAGTGTGAATACCAGGTCCTTAGAGGGGGACTCTGAGCCCTAAGAGAATAGTTTAGAGCTGCCAAAATTAGCAATGATGTAGTATCACCCTGAAGTATCAGGAGCAGAGGTGCCCCAGAGCACTCCCCAGTCCTGTCAGGAAACTTGAACTGCCCCAGTACTCCAGCAACAGCCTAAGGACTTGAAGTCCCTGCAGGTGGGGGAGGTCTTCCTGGAACCCTCAGAAACAGAGAGAACATGCCCCCTCAGATACAGTGAGGAGGTTTTACAGATCTTCATAAGGCATTGAGATCAAATGATATGAAAAAGTAGGAGTTTCAAGCTCAAGTCTCAAAGGTGATTCTCAGGATTTGACCCAGAAAGAAGCTTCCTTAGGAACAGATAATGCATTGATGAAGTAGAAGTAGCTTCAGCAAAAACATAGTACAGAAATCCTGTCACAATGTCCTGCATTTTATAGCTTTATTAAAGATGAGTTTGAAGGTCACATTCACTACTCAATTGTAAACTGAATGGAGGGGATAAGATCTCCCCACACAGTATGTTCCTCTCTTTTCTGAGAACGACGCACGGGATTTTCAGATAAACTCCATGTCATGTAAGTCCAGCTTCAGTTCCAAAATTCCTATCACACTCTCTGTTTCTGGAAGTGATCTCTGCCAGACTGCCTTAGATACCAATTTTATTTATTCTTAAGTTTGCAAGGATTCTTAACACGCATTTCCATTAGAGGTGGTTAGCTGGCAGAGTTTTCCCTTGACTTCTGAGACTGGTGCAAATTGACTCTTGATACCCAAGAAGTGTTACTTAAACAAACTAAGTAGCTTTGGAAATAGCCGTTTATTCCATTAAAGGGCTTGCACATGAGGTCCTCTGGCTAACCTTTGTCTTAACAAGAACCCATTGTGACCCATCAGGACTTGCTAGTACCCCTAGTTCCCACTTTGGTTGTATTTAGAGCTTCAGGATGTGTCACTACTGAGCAAGAAATGCTCAGAAATTCAGGCTATGAGGGGTTAGATTAGAGGAAAGTAATTTTAGGTGAGTTATCCAGAGCTTTCAACCTCAAGGTTTATAGGAAAACCCCTACAGTCTCCTCTAAGGGCCTTCCAAAATCCTTACAAAAGTATTAGACTAGGCATTTCGCAGTAGAACTATAGCCTCTGGCAACATACTTCCAAATGCTAGTTCCCGCCAAGAACAAGTATTTCTTTGTTTTTTTATGTATTTCTTGTCTTTACCCATTTTGCCATTAAAATATATTCATTTCATTAACTTATTGAGGATCTGCAAAAAATATGAATGCTATGTGAAACCACTGAACAGTTAATTTTTTTGGTAGTTCAAAAATAATCAAGAGAATTACAAATCAAGATGTTCTGCCTGCATCCTGGAGTCATAGGAATTCTGTGCCAGATGAGCCTTATCTAATTAGGTGATCCTGTCATTTTCTAGAGAAGGAAACAAATCCACAGGTTAAAGTGTCTTTTCTGACCAGTCAGTAACAATTCAGAGCAGAGTAAGTTTTTTTCTCTCAGCCCATTGTTCTACTTCTCTTCCCTTTCTCTTGTAGTTGAGTAGCTTTTGGAAAAATGTGTTCCTTATAGCAGTAGTTGCAAGGGATGTTATTAGATGTTACAAGAGAACAAAAGTGTATGTGGGGTGGGGGTGGGGTGGGGACTCCAAGCTCAGTTAAAATTGAGGAATGCTGAGTTTGTTTCCTTTCTGTAGGACTTCGAAGAGTTTTTAATGTGCTCTTATATATTGTGAATTTATAAGGGGACAAAGACTGTGTTTACGAGACTTATTTGACCTTAAACTGCGCCCCATCCTCCTTTTTTCAGAGCAGCTCAAAGGACTCCGTGTCCTTTGGGAAACATGGCTCTCAAAAGTTTACAAGTCTTTTAGAAGACATCCCTAATGGAATTCTGAATGGTGCATCCACCATGTAAACCGTAATATATCTCAAAGTTTAGTGAGATGCCAGAAAGAAAACGTATTTGCCATTCAGAGCTATACATCAGGTATAGAGATTCTTTTCTACCTATGGTGTGTAGAATCAGTATTTGTGTTTTAGTTTTGAAAGTTTTTCAAAGATCAATTAGTGTGCAAATACAGTGGTGATATATTGATATTACATTTTAATAATGCTTTTTTGTGTGGCACTTTATAGTTTTCAGAATGCTTTCATACCAACCCTGTGAGACAGGCAGGTGTAAGTATTATCAGATGAGGCACTGGAGGCTCAGAAAGGTTTTTGTGATTTTCCCCTTAAGTTTATACCACAAAATGATGGAGCCAGAATTCAGTTGCAGAGCTTCTGACTCCAAGTCCAGAATTCTTTTTTTTTTTTTGGGGGTTTTTTTTTTTTTTTTTTGCGGTACGCGGGCCTCTCACTGTCGTGGCCTCTCCCGTTGCAGAGCACAGGCTCCGGACGCGCAGGCTCAGCGGCCATGGCTCACAGGCCCAGCCGCTCCGTGGCATGTGGGATCTTCCCGGACCGGGGCACGAACCCGTGTCCCCTGCGTCGGCAGGCGGACTCTCAACCACTGCGCCACCAGGGAAGCCCCATCCAAGTCCAGAATTCTTTACTCCACACCTGGTTTCTTACTTTTTCTTCTAGCTTCATATTTTACTATGAAAGGTATGGAAGCAGATCTTAAACATCATTTTGGCTTCTTATCAAATACTATTTTTTATGGCAGTGACCGAGAAAGTGTAACTCCAATTGTAGTTATCCCAAAGAAAACCCTTCTTTGTGCTTTGCAGTGCCACTTGTCTAGGTGATTGGAGTGTATTTCAAATACCATTTGAGTTTGAAACCAAGATTGGATATATAGTTTTAATTGCTTATGTAACTTCTGGAAAATGTATCATCTTTGCATTCTCAGGCAAAGTAGAGATGGTTTGAAGGTAAAAAAAAAAGATTATTCAAATACAACAACACATCTTTATTCTCACAAACTCTGTTTCTTAGCTTTAACTTGCTTTGACAACCGACTGATGTAACATCTTTGTAAATGTAAAATATTTATATTTTGAAATAAAACTACTGTGTTGATTGAATCAGGTGGTAAACTTAGTCTCATTTCTGTGGAGAAATTTGGTCTTCAGTGAAGTCAAACTTTCACAAATACATCCATCTCTTAGGCCTTATGTCTTACCTTTTCTTTGACACCAGTGCCGACACTGAATTTTTATGAAATATGGGCAACTTACATAAGGGAAGATGTACCTGTGGAGTGGGTACTGAGCACCTTAAAGAGGTGAAAGGGTCCAAGGCTAAGGCTGGAGCCCTCAGAGCCCAGGGGAAGGTGGCTTTGTGGTAGATAAGGAAGTGATGAGGTGGGTGGCTGGGGAGTGAGACTCAAATGAAAAGAAAGTTTCATTTCTTTTCATTTGAGGGCTTTCATTTGAAGAGGGCTTCCCTGGTAGCGCAGTGGTTGAGAGTCCGCCTGCCGACGCAGGGGACACGGGCTTGTGTCCCAGTCCGGGAAGATCCCACATGCCGCGGAGCAGCTGGGCCCGTGAGCCATGGCCGCTGAGCCCGCGCGTCCGGAGCCTGTGCTCCGCAACGGGAGAGGCCACAGCAGTGAGAGGCCTGTGTACCTCAAAACAACAACAACAACAAAAAAACAAAACAAAAATGAAAAGAAAGTTGGATAAAAGAACCACATGTTTTGCATGAAGAAAACAAACCTAAGGTATGGCTATCTTCAATAGCAAAGATAATCGATGCAGCAGTAGCAGATGGAGCTGAACCCCAAGTGGAGGTATTTTAAAACACATCTCAACAGTGCTTGGGAAAGAGCTTTCTGACACCTCGAGCTGGTGTGGTATTCAGCTCATCAGTCTGACATTATAGATGGAGAAAATGATCCTGGCAAAGGTGTAAGGGGTGGGCTAGCCAGGCTCAGATTCAGATTGTTTTCTACTCTTGATAGTTTCTTATTGGCAAATATGCTAGTTCACAAAATATTTCTTCATGCTTCTCAGTCTGTTGCGTAAGCCTAGGACCCTTTCACAGGGTGTGCGCTTCTGTCAGCCTCCCCTGGGTTTGCTTCTGGAAACTTTAGGGTCACAGGTGTCCAGTTCTCCCATCCCCATCACACAGGGGCTCCTTGATTCTTAGCCTTACCCTTAAGTGAGTTTAGTCAGAGTTACACACTAATGATCTTCCGTTACTGAACAGCTGTTGAGAAACTGCTCTGCGCTAGGCACGAGGGCAAAAGTAGTTTTAAAAAGTAATAGTGTTGAGCAGAGGTGAAGTTTTTCCATATGTTCTATTTAATTTCCTTTTGAAGAGTAATTCTGAACAGTAGCCTGAAGATACCCAAATCACTGTTTTCTTGCCGGGTACCCAGATACTCCTTAAATGATTGCATTATCAAAAGTTTCATCTTCAGTCCAGCTGAAATTGTGAGAAAGATACGGTTAGGAAAAGAGCAGGGCGGAAGGGGGAAATGGGACCTTCTCGAGAAGCTCCAGAAAGACTATAACCTGTAGAATTCCCGTCTTACGGTAAAAGCCCTTTCCTATAGGCTTGACTCTGGCCCCGGTCTACCAGTTAGTTTCAATCCCAGCGCAGCTTCCAGTAATCGCGGGGAATTCGGAGTTAGGACGAGCCACTTCTGGGGAGCATGGGAAGCTTCGCTGGGCATGGATGTCTTTGCCCTGGTAAGAGGCCACGTGGCCGTGGGACGCCCTCAGGTATCTTGTTTCTCTGTTCTAGAGGGGGCGGGACGTGTGTGGAACCCACTAAGGAATGATCTGAGAGAGACAGGATAGGGACTGGGGACAGAGGACAGAAGGGGCGGGGCCAGGGTTAGGGGGTGGGGCTGCAGGGCGGACTTCAGACTGGGGCGCTTGGAGGCGGAGAGTGAGCGGGCCCGTGCTGGGGGCGGGCCCAGCGGGGTGGCGCCTCGGGCGGCGCGGGTGCATCGCAGCTGCCGAGCGCAAGCAGGCTGGCGGGTGGCGGGTCGGCAGCGGTACGGCGTCCGGGCTC